GTGGCTCACATCTGTAATCCCAGCCCCTTGGGAGGCCAAGGCAGGTGGATCACCTGAGGTCGGGAGTTCAAGACCACCCTTGACAAACCTTTGCCAACATGACAAACCTTGTCTCTACTAAAAATACAAAAATTAGCCCAGCGTGGTGGCACGCACCTGTAGTCCCAGCTACTCTGGAGGCTGAGGCAGGAGAATCACTTGAACCCAGGAGGCGCAGTTTGCAGTGAGCCAAGAACGAGGTCCCCTGCGCACTTTGCCAGAAAGGGTCATTGAATAGCCAAAAAATTATTCTTTCTTTCTTGGGGATGGAAATGCTGCAAGTTCTCTCGAGGGGATATGGAGACGTGCTTTGGGGCAGGCCAGCAGCCCCAGTTGTCTGTTTGCTCCCTTCTCCGGGCCTGCCTTGGCCTTGGTGGGAAGCTGTGGAGTAGGCCAGAAGCACCCCCAGACACTCTGTGCCCTCCAGGAGCGCTGTGGCCTTCTTTGAGGAGGAGAGCCCGCCTAGCTGGGCCTGGGCTGTCAGAAAGCTGGAGGTGAGCCTGGGGCCTAAGCAGGGAAGGGAGGTGCGCCTGGCCACTTGCCTTCACCCTGCTAGACCACGCTCCCCTCCTGACCAGTCTCTCCAGGTTGGCACCTGGCTCATGTGGTGACCGTGTTGACCTGCAGGCAACCAACCCTGCACTCTCCTCCACTTGCCTCAAACTCCACACCGGATGTGGCTCCTGATCATTCAGGTATGTAGGCTGGCGCCGGTGGGCATTGCGCCGACGTTGGGGCGGGACAGACATGATGCAGACCCCAGATCCAAGCTCAGGGAGCGCATGTCCTGGGTCCCTAGGTCCTGGCAACTGACTTTCAACAGCTCCTTATGACATTAACACACCAAGCAGGCCTTTCGTCCAGCAATAGATCCGTGGCCAGGAGGTTGGCCCGTAGCGACTAGGGGTTGGAAGCAGAGAGACCAGTGATGGGGGATGGCAGTCAGCTGCCTTCTTCAGCCGCCGTCTTTCCTCCCCACCACATCCACCTGTCACTCCAACCTATGGTGGGCTCCTAGGGAAGGGGCCACTGTTGACCAGAGTTGGATAATGGCTAAATTGGAGGTTTGGGCCCCTCTTCCCATTCCTGCCCCAGGAACATTGGAGTCACGACCCCCTTGAGGCCTTCAAGGATTCTGAGGCTACATCTATGCCAGGGGTGCCCAAGACATGAAGTGCGTCAGCATCCAGTGAGTGTCCTCCATTTCCGCTCTCCACAAGTCCCCACTGGTCTAGTGGATTGACAGGACCTGGAGGGTGATTTGAGAAACTTAGGCGCAGGACACCTTGGCCCCTTGGACAGGAATTACTTTCCATGACCATTGCATCGATAGGAGATGCAGCCAGAGAGGAGCATGGACTTTCTGCAGTCCCTATCAGGGTGTGGCAGGGTAAAGTCCAGGGCACAGGACTCCAGCCTGCTGCCCTGCCTGCCGGGCCAGCCTGAGCATCTGGTGGCTCCCGAGCACCTGGCTTATGCCCCTCAGGTACCTGGAGGCTGTGAGGGAGGCTGAAGGTGGAGGGCCACCGGTTCCCCAGAACCATCCACATGACCTTGTGCCTGGTAGGATGGTTCAGAACCTCTGGGAAAGGGGGGTGGGGTGGCGGCAGCCTCCTCATCTCATGCCCTGCTGCCTTTTACAGATGAGGAGGTTGGGGGGTCACCAAGGCATGCGAGGCTGTTTCGTGCAGCGGCCTGAGTTCCACGCCCTGAGGGCAGGATTTGCCTGATGAGGGTGAGCAGGTTGGCAAGCTGATGAGCAGCCAGGCAGGAGTAGGAGGCTGTAGTGGGGACTGGGCGCTCCAACCTCTGAACCCCTTTCCCTCCTCAGGCATAGCCAACCCACTGATGCCTTCACTGTCTTTTATAGTGAGCGGAGTCCCTGGTGTAAGTATGAGCTTGGAGGGAGGGCTCACTCTACAGGTGGTGAGGCGGCCAGAAAGGGCACGGGTCCTATGAAGAGTTGCACAGCAAAGTGAGGCCTGAGAAGGCCTGAACCCGAGCCTCTGCCTCCCAGCTCTTTCCTATCTGAGCTTCTCTGAGGCAAGCCCTGGCCTGGC